ACGGATGAAGGTTGAAGTGTACAGAAGAAAAGTGAATACACGAGACGTACATTCAAGTCGCTCTATCTCGGAAACCGTGGGGAATAGGACATATATTCATATGAACATTTTTGCTTAAAATGACCGATACAATCACCTCCCAGAATATTGACCTTTCCTCCTGGAACACCCTGTATACGTGTGAACCGTGTACAATTGGTGTACCGAACAATTTGTAGCTATGCTCGCACTGTCAAACGCGCGGTTTATGAATGGCAGTGATTAAATAAGTTTTATTTATTTAAACGATTAAAGTTTTATTTATTTTATTAAATTTATTTATTTTATTTTATTTTCCGCTTTGTTAAATATTGCAAATAAAGTTTAGAACTTTCCGATTTATTTTTTCTCAAAAGATAATGTAATTGATGGACGTAAATTATGACACTTTGTATATATATAATATGCAAGAATATATATTTTAGCCACTATGTTAAGGATGGTCTAATGCCACTTTAAAATGTCGTAGGTGGTCGGAAGCAACACATTTTCAGGGGATTGGAGCCCGACAATTATTTCCATGTTGGGACAAGCCAACAATGAAGGCCACATTCAATATTTCCATAAAGCATCATCGTAAATACAAAGTTTTTTCAAATATGCCGATACAAAAAGAGGAAATATATAAACAATATAAAACGGAAACACATATGAACTGGACATACTTTAACGTCACTCCTGCAATATCCACTCATACCGTGATGCTTGTGATCACGCCAATAACTACTCTTGACCATTTTCGCATGGGTAATATCATTATATGGTATAGACCTGGACTGTACTGGCATATTAAATATGCTCAAAAAATTGCACATATAATAATGTTACAAATGGAAATCAAATGGGGAAACTTAAAGATTCCAATAGTGCAATTTGTCGCAATTTGTGGTTTGCTATACGAAAATCAGAACTGGGGACTAGTGTTAAATAGGTAATACAAAAATTAGAAAGAAATATTATTCCATTGGAACACAATTTTTGTAAGAATCAAAATCAGAAATACATAAAGTATAAGTTAAAATATACGTTTAAAAAGTAGGATTATTATAATAAATATATTAATATATTTTTAGAATTAATTATAAGTTAATTTCAATAGATAACATATATAATATATATATGAAAATATCATATGTCTTATATAATCAATCTGCAAAACAACATATGATTATATCATATCAATTGCGTTATCCGTTTAGATGACATTTCTCAGTTTTAAATCAAAAAATATATTAAAAATATTATTATTTGTACAAATTTATGTTTAATACTAAATTCTTGCAAATTTTACTTTTATATGTTTTAGAGAAACAAATATTATGTACGATAAAAATCTACATTCTGTTGCGCATAAAATAAATATCGCGCGGTTGATAGGACGAGAAATAACATATCAATGGTTTGGTAATTTAGTCGATCCATTATGGTTAATCGATGGCCTTAGTATGTTGTTTGGGATAGATACCCTTAATTCTATCGAGGTAGTTTTCTTATATATTTTGTGACATTTTTCTCTTAATGTACATTTTGATATTATGTTTTCTCAATATCATTTTACGCAAGTACATAAAATTTTTGATATTATAAAAAAATTAATGATTCTTAAATTACTTATAACATTAATTATGTCATATGAAAATTGCTTAAACTATTTATAAATTTGTCACATCTATTAAAACTATATTGTATGCTGATCATTTGATATTTCCAAATTATTATAAAATCTGCAATCTAGAAAGAAACGTAAATAGAAAATGGCATATATATTTGATACAATCAATTTCAATGATTTCAAATAGTTTCAATGACATGCTGTTTCAAACACTACACATTATATTTTGGAAAATTTTACCATATTTTTGTAATGTTGATAAATAACAAAGTTATTTTTAACAGTAGCAATTAATAAGTATTGTTAATATGTATATTTCATTCAATTACAATTTTTCTTTTTAGGATTATAGACATTCCGAAATGTTAGATTTATTTATAGTGCAGGTTCAATTTGATTCTCTTCGTTTGGACACTCTTCCTTTCATAAAGCCTGTTATAGCGGAAGATAATCACTCCGAAATTTCTTTTTTTTCCCATTATATTAAAGGTAACACTTAATAAATATAATTGAACAAATGCTTATAAACTTTAGAAATTCATATTATAAAAGAATATGGAACATTAATAATAAACAAATATATGTTTATAGTTTAATGATATATTTACTTTACTGTGACACAATATAAGATATTATGACACAATTATATTGACACAATTATATATTGACAGATATATTGACAGATATATTGACACAATTTATTATAATTAAAAGTCTATCTTTGTCTAAACAAAATCAAATAAAATTACTCACTTACGCGGGCACTGTGCAAAATATAAATTTGTTTTAAAGATATTAAAATAATAATATACACATATATTTGAGCCTCTCAGAAGTCAAATTAATCAATTCCATTATTTATAAATCTTTTAATATTAATACCAGAGCACATGAGAGAGATTAGTATATTAATATTTAAAAAATTATAAAAAATGTATTTGGTTAATTCGGTTTCTAAAAAAAAAAAAAATATAAATCACATTGTATCATATGAATTGTAGCACCATTAATATTGCGTATGCTGCAGTACCTAATTACCGATGAAGTGTTTCGGGAAAGTGTTTACTTATATCTTCATAAACAGTGAGTGTAATTTGAATATTATAAAAACATAAAATTTTATATATTATTTACTTACGTCATAAAATTCAGCATGTTAAATATTATTGATATGTAAGTTCTACAACATGTATAAATTAAATAATACTTTAAAATTTTTGGATGTACAATTTATAATTAGTACAATTTGTGCTGTATTTATAATGTCAAAATTTAACAAATATAGTGTGCTTAATTCGACAACTCCCGATGATTTCTGGACCGTTATGAAAACTGCTATAGATGAAGCATATGATAATCCCTATATTGAAGAATACATGCCTCCTTTAAAAACGATGGTGTATAATTGTTGGATCAGTTGTATCGGTTATCCTGTGTTAGAAATAACGCGAGATTATTATAAAAATAGTATGAAAATAGCAATATACAAGAATATAAAAAATTGCGATACATTTGAAGATCTTTTCTGGATACCTGTGACTTATACTACGCAGAATGAAACAAACTTTAGGAATCTTAAACATCCACTTTATGACCAAAGATTAATAGTTATGCGGTCAGACAAGCCGTCTAAACACGTTATTATAAATGAAACTGGTTGGGTGATATTCAATTTACAACAAGCTGGTGAGAATATCGATGAAAATATATTTTTATTATATCTTACATAATTAAAGTTTTAAACTGTTGTATAATTTTATTTATATCCTCTTTTAATAAGAGCATGCATTATATAAATAAACATATAAGTAATATTATATAACATTTTAATAAATATTGTATGAAGTATTCTATACTGTATCGATGATCATGAGATAAATCCAATTCTGCATATTTTTTGATTATTATTTAATCTTAAATAAATTTAAATTGATTCCCGATCACTTATATAGCTTAATTCCACGTCTTATTTAATACTCGAAATTACTCTCAATATGTAAAATGCAGATAGTCATAAATATTTTTTAATAAATTCCAAATTAGATGAAAATCAAATAATATATAAAAAAATTATTTATTACAGGATACTATCGCGTTAATTATGATCCCGAAAACTGGCAAAATATTGCAAAATATTTGAACTCTAAAGAGTTTACGAAAATACATGTTCTCAATCGCGCTAAAATTATCGACGACGCATTTTATTTTATGGTAGAGCAGCAACTCGATCCTTCTATATTCTGGGAATTAATAAGTTATCTTGCACGAGAGACAAATTATATAGCGTGGTATCCTATGATTAAAGCTCTTGAACATATGTCGAGCGTCTTTCCACTTCCAAATGAAGGAGTTAAAAATATTAAGGTAAATAGCATTAGATTTAATCAATAGAAGAGTTTTTAGTGTATTTCATGTCATATTTTTCAAGCAAATAAAATGTACCTTAAAAAAATTCAATTATGTTTGCTTATAAGCTTATTTAAACTAAAAATACAAATTTTAGCGAAAGTTTTTATTTCAGGTTTATACTGCAGATGTTAAACATGTTTAACATACGTTATAGATTTTTTAATACTTACCTTCCTCATGTTTTAATGTGTGATTTTCTAATAAAATTTAAATTTAAAATTATACATGTAATTGAAACGTAGACTAAGACTTTCGAAAGAACAACGACTAGACGATAGTCCATGTTTTAATTAAACGTACTTTATACAATATTTATCACTTAAACTTTAAACTTTTATTAAGAGCTAATTGTCTAACGTGATATTCCACTTTTAAATTATTGAGCATTTTTTTAAATTTGTATTTCTACGTTTGCATTATAATATAAATACGCAAATTTTTATATATAATAATAAATCTGTATAATATATAATATTTAAAAGGTAAATAGCATTAGATTTAATCAATAGAAGAGTTTTTAGTGTATTTCATGTCATATTTTTCAAGCAAATAAAATGTACCTTAAAAAAATTCAATTATGTTTGCTTATAAGCTTATTTAAACTAAAAATACAAATTTTAGCGAAAGTTTTTATTTCAGGTTTATACTGCAGATGTTAAACATGTTTAACATACGTTATAGATTTTTTAATACTTACCTTCCTCATGTTTTAATGTGTGATTTTCTAATAAAATTTAAATTTAAAATTATACATGTAATTGAAACGTAGACTAAGACTTTCGAAAGAACAACGACTAGACGATAGTCCATGTTTTAATTAAACGTACTTTATACAATATTTATCACTTAAACTTTAAACTTTTATTAAGAGCTAATTGTCTAACGTGATATTCCACTTTTAAATTATTGAGCATTTTTTTAAATTTGTATTTCTACGTTTGCATTATAATATAAATACGCAAATTTTTATATATAATAATAAATCTGTATAATATATAATATTTAAAACATATTCAAAAGCTGAAAACAAATAAGTAATTTAACAAATAAGTAATTTTTCTTAATGTTACTGTTTTTTTCATTTTATATTCAACGCAATGTTTAATAAGTTAATTTTTTATATAAAATATTAACTTTTTTAGATATTATAGACCTTTGCCATGGTGGGAAGAATGGATATACTGTAAAGGTTTGATGTTAGCAAACAGTTCGATTTGGCATGAAGTGGTAAAAATTTCATTTTCAGAGAACAAAATAGACAGATTTTCAGAATTTTTAGCTTGCGCTCCAAATAATGTCACGAATGAACATTTAGGATTACTTATGTTCAAAAAAAATGAAGATTTTGATGAAATATATATCAAAAGACATATTAATAGTTTTCTTTTTATTATTGCAAAGCATGCAAAACACAATGATGTACTTTCAAATATATTAAGAAATTTCGATAAATTGAAGCCAAGGTAATAAACAGAAATATTTTTTTTTTGAAAAACGTGTTTTTATAATTACGAAAATTTGTTACGCATAGGTATTAATTATATGTATATGCTATTTTGTTTTGATAGGGGTATAAATGGGGTTGCAATGTTTATTATTCTTGTTAACCATGTGTATTCTAGAGAGCAATTAGTCAAGGTAAATTTTATGTAAATCCAATTATAAACTTTTTATTATTAAAATTTTTTATATCTATATATGCATTATATAGGAGTCTGGAAACACACACACATATACACACACGCACGCACACACACACACAGACATATATATTCTTTATAAATTTTAATCATGCTGAAAATAAGAAATAATGTTTCGTTAATTTCTTAAAAGACTAAATTAAATTACTATTTAATTTTGTTGATAATAAATGTCGAAATAATTTATTTTATTTAGATTAGAGGAATCATGAGAGAAATCATTGAGGTAGAAGCGTACAAGTTTCATATTAAACATATATGCAAAAAAACCGGATCTCTTTTTGACAGTGTAAGTTTTATGAATTCAAAAGTTGTAGTTATTTATATAAATATAAATAATAAATTTTTATTACTAAAACTTATATGTCATATAAGTAGTATTTATTTTTTAATTATATTAGATTTTTAAGATGAAATAGAATTTAATGTCAAAATAATCTATTTCAGGTAATTATTGAAGCAAGTTTTGATGAATATAAAGATCTTGTGGATGAATGGATATATTATGCTAACTACAAACTACAAACGCGCTCGTCTCAAATTGAAAGGCAGATAAGCTATCTTCAGACTTTTTTAGAAAAAGGAAGATGAATGTGAATAGCTACAATCACAGCAAAAAATTTTAAGCGGTGATTCTAATAAGTACATATATATATATATATAATAGATATTTATAGATATATAGAATATATAGATTTATGTATAATGATTTATGTATATTTACAAGTATTATCGATAATTATTTATAATAATAATATGTTTATT